CGTAGACGCCCAACAACGGCGGCATAAAGGCCAGCCGTGCAGGCGGAAGCACCAGTCGGCGGCGGACGAGGCGGCCGGTCGGTGAAGACGTAGACGCCCAACAACGGCGGCATAAAGGCCAGCCGTGCAGGCGGAAACACCAGTCGGCAGCGGCGAAGGCAAGCCGGTCGGTGAAGACGTAGACGCCCAACAACGGCGGCATAAAGGCCAGCCGTGCAGGCGGAAACACCAGTCGGCAGCGGCGAAGGCAAGCCGGTCGGTGAAGACGTAGACGCCCAACAACGGCGGCATAAAGGCCAGCCGTGCAGGCGGAAACACCAGTCGGCGGCGGCGAAGGCAAGCCGGTCGGTGAAGACGTAGACGCCCAACAACGGCAGCATAATAGGCCAGCCGTGCAGGCGGAAACACCAGTCGGCAGCGGCGAAGGCAAGCCGGTCGGTGAAGACGTAGACGCCCAACAACGGCGGCATAAAGGCCAGCCGTGCAGGCGGAAACACCAGTCGGCGGCGGCGAAGGCAAGCCGGTCGGTGAAGACGTAGACGCCCAACAACGGCAGCATAATAGGCCAGCCGTGCAGGCGGAAGCACCAGTCGGCGGCGGACGAAGGCCAGCCGGTCGGTGAAGACATGGACGCCCATGAACGGTGGTGTGACCGACCAACCGTATAGGCGATGACACCAGTCGGCGGCGACGGAGGCAGGCCGGCGGTGTAGATGACGATGCCCATCAACGGTGGTGTGACCAACCGACCGTATAGGCGAGGACACCAGTCGGCGGCGACGGAGGCGGGCCGGCGGTGAAGTCGTGGACGCCCAACAGCGGCGGCATAATAGGCCAGCCGTGTAGGCGGAGGCACCACTCGGCGGCAACGAAGGCAGGCCGGTGGTGAAGTCGTGGACGCCCAACAGCGGCGGCATAATAGGCCAGCCGTGTAGGCGGAGGCACCAGTCGGCGGCGGACGAAGGCCAGCCGGTCGGTGAAGACATGGACGCCCATGAACGGTGGTGTGACCGACCAACCGTATAGGCGATGACACCAGTCGGCGGCGACGGAGGCAGGCCGGCGGTGTAGATGATGATGCCCATCAACGGTGGTGTGACCAACCGACCGTATAGGCGAGGACGCCAGTCGGCGGCGACGGAGGCAGGCCGGCGGTGTAGATGACGATGCCCATCAACGGTGGTGTGACCAACCGACCGTATAGGCGAGGACACCAGTCGGCGGCGACGGAGGCGGCCGGCGGTACATGTATAAAATAATAGATCAAATAATAATTAGTGATCTGTGAATTAATTCTAATTTATATAAGAAAATTTAGAACGATAAACCAGATCCAGATAGAATTTTTGGCGACGAAGACCCTGCCCTTTTGTTGAGAGGATCACGGCCAAAGACAAGAGTAGCACCGATGATGCCGGCACAGAGTTCCATCGCACTTCTCGACGGAAAACTCGACGCAACCCCTACCTGGCGCGCCAACTGTCGAAACATGATTTCGGCAATAATAAAACGGGGTAGCGCACGAGACCTAAAAGTGGATGGATGTGGAGACAAAGGATTTAGACAGGTTCAGGCCCTCTCAATGAGAGGTAATACCCTACTCCTGTTTGGGGATTTGAATCCGCCGGATGTGTATTGATCTGACGATTAGGTTGTCTCATGCCCCCTAGAGGGCCTCCTGCCCACCTTATATAGGATGGGGGGCAGGATTACAAGATAGAAACCTTAACCAATACGGTATCGGTTTCCTAAATCTATTTTACAATATTATCAAACCAGGACTTTAGGCTGTTCCGTAATATATAAGGAAACATAATACCCAAGTCATGATCTGTTACATATTCCATACATATAAGTTATCCCCTATAACTAGTCGGATAACCATGCCGTGTGGGTATGGGGTACCCATAATCTCCACACTGTTTATCATTTATCAACGGAGCCTAGCTTCCATATTCAACAGGTTGATTGCTTGCATGCATGGTACATTCTTTGAAGCCTCAACTTAGCCAATGGAAGGTATTGGGAAGATTCAGGAGACATTGCGCCGTATGGTAGTTTCATGGCTAAAGAACAAAGTTTCTGACGATCCATCGGCCTGCTTTCTGTCATAAATTCAACTATATTATGGACAGGAAGTATGGAAGGGCTTACCAAAGGCATGCAAATATGAAAAAGGAAGCGGCAGCGGGTGGTTGCGGGTATACATTCCTAGTCTTTACAATAGCTATTTCCTAGTTTAGCTTTAGACCGAGTTCTGGTCTAGTTTAACTTTACACTACAGAATTAGCACTTTTCTTGTTTAGGAATTAGCCTGACCAGTTTTGTACTAGCAGAGTCAATCAATCAACAAAATTTAAAGGCTTAGCAAGACAAGTATCCTAGCCAATCAATAAAGTTTGTTAGAGGGTGCAAGGTTCTATCGTTCTCTAGATTCGTTTTGACCATCTGCAGCCAAATATATTAAACAACTATATAGCATCCCTGCCTTACCATGTTCGATTCAGTTATCAATTTTGAGTGTGCTTTAGTCAGAGAAATTAAGCACATCCAAGTCTCTTGCAGAAGAACATTACGTTCACAACTTCACACATTCAAGCTTCATTTCACGGATGATAAATTACCTTTCTCAACTATTTAAATTGATGGGATGAATCGACAAATGGGATACTAATACTCTGGACTTTCACTGGATAAATAATTTAGTTTGCTTTTAGGAAAATTTGTAGCACTGCACTGGTCAGTGCTAGCTAAACTATGATCTTAAGAACTTTACAATTTTTCTACCGATTCATAAGTGTGCACCACACAGCACCAGAATTACATTTGTCTAAAAACAACTATACTATTACCCGCCCCCAAAAAAAAACTATACTATTTATCGCAGCACCAGTGCAGCATATATATCAGTTTCTTTCCTACCACGTCTGAGATTTGTTCTTGACTACAGATTCATCTTTGATACCCTCTTAATGTTATTACTGTACCATAGCTATATATTTCTTTGCTTCCAATATTTATCATCTTCTTTAGTCCGAGTTTATTTCTTATAATGTACAACTTCCTCCACTACACCGGACCAGGTCATCTGTGACGGGTCCAAACCCTCACTTTTGACAGGTTTATCCCTTGGTCACAAATTAGTGGTCACTGATGACTTAACCTCACCTGTGAAGGTTGAAGGTCCGTCAGTGGTGAGAGACACCTGTGACGGGTTACAATTAGCAAACCATTAGTGGTGAGAGATATTTCTAACGAGTTATAATTAGAACCCGTGACAGATTATGCCACCTCAAACGAGTTAAAGCAGTCAACCCGTCACAGGTGTGAAAAATCAACCAAAAAAAAACCTCGCTGCAACAATGATTTACAGATCCACGCTGAATAATCCAGAACATTTTAGACTACATTTCTGATCCAAGAACTTACAAGGATGATGTTACAATGAACATAAAAACAAACTAGTGCAACACTGCAAACTACTTGAGAACTACAATGTACACCACCTTCAAGAAAAACAAAACACATCATGTGGCTTCAACAAACAAATCAGTGGCAACACATCAGTCATCCACCCCTGCGATTAATCTCCAGTGGCAACACATAATGCGGCTTCAACAAGAACACACCCGGATTAAAAACTTGGCACCGATAACTTGCAATATCTAAAATCAAATCACAAGAATACAAAACACATACAAACACATGCTCGAAGATGGAGGAGGCGGCAAGGACCGGTGCTCACAGGAGGAGGTGGACACTGTAGCAGCCGCCGCTCGGGGATGAAGGAGGCGGCTAGCCCTTGGAGGTGGCTGCTCGGTGATGGAAGAGGAGCCGGATCCGGTTTCCCCCGACCTGGATCTGGCATCCCCTAACTCGCCCTTGGAGGAGGCGGCTAGCCCTTGGAGGAGCCGGATCAGGTGATGGAGGAGGTGGCTAGCCCTTGGAGGAGCCGGATCTGGTGTTGGAGAGGCTGGATTTGGCATCCCCTATCTCGCCGACGTTCCTGCCGGGCCTCGGCTTGCCGATGGACTTGACGAGGTGGCTGCAGCGGCCGCCGGTCCTGCCTGAACTGCCTGACGAGGTGGCTGCAGTGGTCACCGGATCTCGCCCTTCCTCGGCCACCGGATCTCGCCACGCCGACACTCAGGGATGGGACGCCGACGCCCGGCCACATCTAGCCACATCTGGCCGGCGCCCGGCGGCATCTAGCCGCATCAGCGCCCGACGGCATCTGGCCGCCCGGCCGAGGAAGAAGGGAGAAAGAGAGAAGGGCGGAAGAAGAAGGGAGAGCACGGGTGGAGGTGGAAGAAGAAGGGAGGCAGAAGAAAAAAGGATAAGACCAATGGGCGTGGGTTCGGAGCAGGGAGGAGGTTATGACGGCGATTTTTTTAATCATCTTTGACGGGCAGACAAATATTTGGCCCGTCACAGGTGACTTTACCTCACCTTTGACGGGTTCCGCTTTTGGCCCGTCACAGGTGACTAGTTACCTGTGACGGGCCATATATTTCTAGCCCGTCAGAGGTGACTTTACCTCAGTTTTGACGGGTTCCATTTTTGACCCGTCACAAGTGACATTACCTGTGACGGGTCGCCGCCGGATGGCTCACCGATGATGGCATCTCATGATGGCATCTCATAGGATCCGTCAAAGGTGACCCTCATCACTAACCAACACTTATGCCCGTCACATATGTGCCGTCACAAGTGTGAGGATCTGGCGTAGTGCTCTCTCTTTAATTGACCTATGCTTTCCCACAGACAAATAAACAGTACTTGCTAGCATGAGGGGAATACTGAAAATCGGTTCTAATTAATAGATTGATAGCTAAGTGCATGGCAAACACTTGTATATATAGTTTCTCCCGGAGTTTGGAGTCTCGACTCGCCTTCTCTTCCCTTTATATTGATGCACCTCTTTTCTCAATCCGCGTTTTTCTTTCTTCACTACTTCATCACCAAACTCTAAATACGAAGGAAATACATTTTTCCTGCAGGTTGCTAGAGTTACAATTTAGGACTGGGAGATGTCAGGAATAGACACTGCAGGATTTTGTGTCATGTAACAATATGTCGAAGGCATTGAAAGTTGTGATGCTTTCATGACTGCTCACCTAATTCGTTGGTTCCATTACAAGTAAGTGGCATGTTCGGCTGCTTTGTACCGTCGTTGCGCTGCCACAGCCAGAAGAAACAACACACTGTTCTTGTTGGCTACAGCACAGCAAAAATAAGAGCAGCCGACCAGAGCCAAGAATGAAGATCCATGTAGAAAAAGAAGTACAATGGCATGCTGGAACAGAAAACGACTGTAACCAAGCACTCATAACCCAACCTAAATTAAAAAAAAAATTGCCGCCAGAAATTCTTATTAGTGCTAGTTCTAGCCACGATTCGGCAATGGTAAGTGCCTCATGTAACGTTCCGCTTTTCGTGAGTCGTTAAAAACTAATTCGGCAAAATCCTATATGTGAAAATTTCGTTCTTTGTGTGAGAGTATAAGTTGTGCCAAGATCTCAATTCAAATCTCCATTGTTGTTCCCTCTCGTCGCCATCAAAATCCTCCACCTCAAGATTCCAATTCCAATTCAATTTATTCCAAAGGTCAATCGCCTCCTTTGAATCATCGCCAAATACTTGTCCCGATTCCACAAATATCCGAGTCCACCTTAAATCCATTCCTTGATTCCTCCCTGAACCCTCGAGTTCGGATATCGAATTTGAATCCAAATCCAAACTCCAATTCTCTCCAATTCAATTTCTCTGCCAAAGTCTGATTTATCTCCCTCTGGCTCGTTGGGCCGATTCTTCCTCCCTTGGCCCATCTCCTCCCTCAGCCTCGCACATGCGTTGCACGCGCCGAGCGGAGCCGAGAGAGAGCTCTCTCGCCCTCTTGTTTTTCTCTCTCTCTCCCGTCTCCGTTCTCTCTCTCTTTTCTCTCTGGCGCCGATTTCTTGCTGCCGCCATCCGAACCTCCACCGCCTTCGTCACTCCGGCGCCAAATCCCCCGCCCATCGCCATTCAATTTTCGCCGCCGCCCATCGGTTTCCCCCCCCCCCGCCCCCCGCGCGCGCGCTCGCGCATGGTCAGCCGCTCGGTCGCCGCCGCGTCAGCCCTGACGCCGCCCGTGACCGCGCGCCGCCCAGCCCCGTCTGCACGCGTGCGTCCAAGAGACGAAGGCAGAGCCTCGCTCTCACGCGCTCTCCCTTCTCTCTCAGCTCGCCCAAAATCGGCAAGGAGCCGAGCTCCTTTCTCCCTCCCCCTTTTTGCTTTTTCCCTTCCATCGCCACCGTCACCTCCTCTGCCGCCCGTGAGCGCCAGCCGCGCCCTTGACAGCCAGCTGCCCCCTTGACCGCCTCTCCCGAGTCGATTCCTTCCCATCGAAGCTCCTCACTCGCCACCTATAAAATCCGCACTCCCCTCCCATACCTCTCGCTCCCTCTCCTCCATCACACCATTTCCGCCTCGCCGTTTGTCGTCGTCCTCGCCCTCCTCTTCCATCGTGCGTGCCGGGGAGCTAGCGAGCACGAGGAGTCGACGAGGAGCTCCGCGCCGCCCCATCCTCGCGCCTCCCTCACTCTTCTTTCCCGGCCGCACGCTCTCGGTGCCGCGCCGTCCCTGGAGCGCCGCCTCCACGAAAGCCGGACACGCCCCGCCGCCGGCTCTCCCTTCTCACCACCACCGCCAACGCCGTTTTCTCTCGCCGGTGATCTCCCCACCGTACCCATCCCTCCTACCACACGCTGTGCCGCACCCGCCGCCGCTCGCCTAGGCTCGCCGGCCATCTTGCTCTGTCCTGGAGGCCGCCTCTCGTCGTCGACCTCTCTCGGTGTCCCTCCGCTCCATCTGAGGTTGGGAATGCATTCCCTCGGTCCCGGTGGTGCTCCCGCCGCCCGGAATCGAGCCCTCGTCGAGCGCCGCCACTTTCCCTCTTTCCTCGCCGCCGTCGTCTCCCCTCTTGTCAATTCCTCGTGCCACCACCCTCCTTGAGCCTCCTTGACTCTCCCCGAACCGCCGCCACAGCCGCTGGCCTTCTCCTTTGCTTCCGCGCCGTGCTGCCTATTCCTCCGCCGCCGCGCAAAGTCGCGTGCCGCCGTCGGCCCTCCTCTCATTGATTCCCGGCGCCGCCACCATCCCCGAGCCCCCTCAAACCTCCCTGGCGCGCTGTTGCTGCCGCTCGCCTCGCCGGCCGCGCCCGCGCCGTGCCACCCATCCCGCCGTCGCACGGCCGCCGTCGCCAGCCGCCGTCGCGCCGCCTCTCCATCATCCAAGCTGGTGGATGGAACCGCCTCGACCCCCTCTCGCTTCCAGTGTCTACGCCTCACTCCGGTTCGCCGCCGTTCGCCGGCGCCTCTCGGCCGCCGCGAGCCGTTGGATCCCGGCTCCCTTTCCTCCATCCAACGTGGCTGCCCGCATGGCGTTGACCGGGCCCGCCCCGCCCAGTCAGCCGGTCAGCCGCCTCCTTTCTCTCCCCAGCTCATGGGCTCGGCCCACTAGCCGTCCCCCCCTCGGCCTTTTGAGACAAAGTGAGTTCATATGTTGTCCCTCCTTGCCGAGCCTAACACACATGCAACAAGTCCATATTTCCTCCCACCATCAAATCCGCTCCCCTACACAAAAGTCCATCTTTCCCCCTTGTTGGTCCCACATGTCAATGAGAGATTAAAGAATATTCTTGGGAATATTCTTATCCACAAATTCAATAAATAATTTCATATACTCCAAATTCCATAAATCCTTTTTCTTTGTTCCATAAATCAATTCCTTATTCCAAAATTTCCATAAACTATTTCCTTTGGTCCCGCACGTAAGTGACGGTCAATAATATTCTTGAGAATATTATTTTTATAAATTTCATAAGCCAATTTCCCCTTGTTCCACAAATATCTTCCTTCGCCCAGAAATTCCAATTAAACTTCCAAAATTCAATATCTTCTCAACCGTTCATCTGATTGACTCCGTTCCGCTTCCAGTAATTCCATAAAATTGAGATCTATTTAATGGCACTATTAATTAGTCTAAATAGGATTTTTCTTTGGGTCCTTGTTTAGGTTTTTGATTGTTTGCGTATAGTCGCGGTTACCGGATTTTCGTCAATCGCGGGTTTTCTCGAAGATTCATGAAGCTCAATGAAGACCTTGTGCAAGGCAAGTCACCTTTGATCATCTTGCACCTATAATTTAAATCTAAGTATCTCTTTTCCGCAAATATTGCATGAATAGGATTAACACGAGTATTTCGGCCACGGCTTGCGAGATAGCTTGTCGGCCCCAATCCTAATTGCTGCAATTACCCTCCTTGAATTATTGAACACTTAAACCTCCTTTGTCGACTGTTGTGCTTTGATGCACGGGCATCGGAACACCTCCCCTCAAATTTAAAACATCCAACGATGGGTAAAACTTGGGGTTTTGCAAAAGACATGGAAAACCCGACACATGGGTCGGTGCTTGCGAACTGAATGAATTTTCCAAAACCGCAGACCGGGGGACGTACCGGGAGTACAGTTTCCCGCTCTTGAACTTAACGACCATTTCCTTGGAATTTCATTCGAACATAAGGCAAGTGCGACAACATGGGTGGAATGTGACACCCCTGGCTGAGTAATTAGCTAATCGGGGGAACCATGATGCCAAGAGACATGTGGATTCAACGGGGTGGTGCCGGGGAGAACCCCCGGGCTTACTGGCACAGTATGGTCTGGGATCTAACCTGTTGTCGGTCTGGGACCCCTCTCATTGGCATATGGTGAACCTGTGTCAGCTTTTGAAATGCCTTGTCGTGAAAGCCCCAAGTCACCAGACATGTCTGATCCACACGGGCTAGGTGACCAAGGCTAGTAACGTCGTGTGGGTAAAGTGTACCCTCTCTGCAGAGTTTATTAAACTGTTCGAACAGCCGTGCCCACGGTCATGGGCGGATGTGAGGTTATTCCTAGCGTAGTATTGTTTGACTACTGCTTTGTGAAATTGCTGTTGTGGAATGGGATCGATGTTTAGAAAATCTGCAGCTGATGGGATCAGCTAGGCCCGGGTGGCCGTTTGAAAGTTGTTGGCCGGGTGCCAACCTTGAATCAATTCAAAGACTGATACATTGCACATACTCCGACCGGACGAGACGCACCGTCTCATCCGTGTCGTTTAAGAAGCACTCACTTAGTTGTTTTAAGAAGGAGTTTAACTAAAATCAATTGTGAAAACAAGCAGCCTTTCCTTTGAAGCCTGCATTAAACACTTAATTCCTATGGCTTGCTGAGTACGAAAGTACTCACCCTTACTCTATATAAATATATATATAGTTCCTCTGCCCTGAAACTTAAGATGAAGTGAAGTGAAGAATAGGGTTTCGTTCTGGTCCCCAGCCGTCGCCTGTGGTGTTGGATGTTAGACCGTTGGTTCCGCTGCTGTTGTTGTTGTTGGTGTTTCCTCGTCCGTGTCGTCTGTTGCATTCTCAGGCTGTCCTGAGCTGCAACCTAAGTTAAGATAAATAAGTCCTCTATTTATTTTAAGGATTACAATGATTCATGTTTGTCACCGTGGGTACCAGCGCTATGTCCTGGGACTGGTACTGTGATCACGGTTTTGTAGGAAGCGGTTCGCGCCGTTTTTCCTACGACACACTCCTATCAGGTGCTGTTGTACGGCGGTGCCAGATTGGGGTGTGACACCTCAACAGTGCTAGTTTTTTCCACGAACCATCACTGCCAAGATCAATCAAATCAGTGTTGGTTTGTTTCCCGAATCACCACTAATACTTATCATTATCCCTTATAGTATTTAGGGACGGAGCGTGTACCAACTTTTGCCTTCCCAGAGCGTGTCCAGGGACGGGTGGACAGGAGATCGATCCCATCAGAAACTAGCTTTATCATATTCGTTTTCATATTTTTTTCTCAGAATCGAAATCGGAATCGGAAACCCGGATACGAAAACGGAATCGAATATTATCGAATACAGATACGGAGCGAATACAAATCGAAACGAATTTGGTAACGAATATTAATCGGAACATAAAAGCCCCTCAAATTGACCTTCACAAATCAACGAAGAAATATAACTCGTTATTTTTTTTAATAGAACATATCAACATTTTCAATTTTAGTGTTAATAATTTTGTTATATCCGATTTTGTGGTCGAGGGAGACGATTCAATCAAGAGTAAGACATTACGAGGCTATTATTGTGTTCTAAAAACATGTTCTATTGAGTTATTGTGTTCTTACTGCTATTATTTTGGCCATATTTTCTTGTGACTTTGTTTTATCAAGTAAAATTTTGATTTTCAAAAAATAGCAACTTCAAATAATATTTTGAAGCAGTAAATAATTTCAACTGAAAAAGTTATGAATATAAAAGTTGTAGAACTCATCAAGAGCTAAAACTTTTATTTTGGTCATTTCTTCATCCGACCAAGTGATAGTAACATTGTTCATAAAATTTGCATATCTCTTTTATAACTTATGAAACCATATACGAGATATGTAAATTTTGTAAACAATGTTACTATCGCTTTGTCGGATCAAAAAATGACTAGAATAAAAGTTATAGATCTTGATAAGTTATACAACTTTGTTGTTGATGACTTTTTGAGTTGAAATCATTTAGTATTTGAAAATGTTGTTTGAAGGTGTCATATTTTGAAATCCAAATTCAAACTATTTAAACAAAGTCATATAGAAAAATGACCCAAACAAAAGTTGTTGATCCTGATGAGTTATACAAATTTGTTATTGACAATTTTTCCATTTAAAATATATTTACTACC